GGCACCTTCTTCCTGTAGTTACTTCTGTTGCTCCTGCCACAGAAACATCCAGCCAATAATAATAATGGCCTGCACATTATTTCTACTGACGCATTTTGCTTTTGCTTTGGATTTTGCTCTCTGTAATCACAAACTCATGATTCAGACCAGAGTGAAACAACTACAGGTGTGAAAATGCTGGAAAATTCTGACAAATTTAAAAATATTCATTTTAAAAATTCAGTTCCAGCATTGTTTTAAGGAAGCAGAGTTTGTAGTGTGTTGTGCAGGAAGGTGATGGTGGCCCTTTTAACAGCAGCAGTAGTAATGAGGTGAGCGAAGTCTGCACTCACCTTATCTTGTTTTCCAACCTTTCCCTGAGTGCTTTGTCTTATCTGCCACTTTCTCCCTGTCCCACCTCCTCTCCTTGGAAAGACCCTCTGTTTTGTTTGTCTGTTCTCTCCGTCATCCTGTAAAAGCTTTTCCTTTTTTAACTTTAGCGGCTCGCTATTCCTTTGGGAAGGAGGTTGCTTTGGTCACAGTGTAAACGGAGACAGACGTGTTGATGGTCATAAAGGAAGCGCGCTGTCCTGAGGGGCTGTGATTACATTAACCTCGTGTCTATTGAGTTAATCAGACACCGTGCTCACTCGGAGCTGTGCTTAAAAACCGTAAAGTGTGTAACTGCTGCCAGAGCGTGTAGCTGGTTCTTAAAGCAACTGGCTGTGTGCTGAGCAAACTCTGATGTCAAATGATCAAAGGTTAGAGCGCTAATCATGTTCAGATATTTAGAGCGTGGTGCTGTAGTTTTTGTGTTCATTGGCAATAGTCGGTCCTGTTTTGGTGTTTTTGTTTATCTGCAGCTGTTCCAGAAACATCTGCAGCTGTTTTCCAACCTTTCGATGGCTATTATTCATCCTCGGTTACAGAAACCAGATTCCACTGAGCTCATTAATCCATCTGAACAAGCATCCAGCTTTGATGTGCCTTTGTGCCACACTCTCCTCTTAGGACGATGCTTAACTTCTAGATTGTTATAATGCAACCTGTATTGTCCTTTGAGTGTTTTTGGGGCGGGCTTAGTGAGCAGGTCCAACTGTGAAACCACATGCTTATTGGTGAATGACTTGTTCGACAAGTCATTAGAAAACAAGCATGTTTTATAACATGGACTCTTCTTTTTGGCCAAAACCAAGACTTTTCAAAATGACATTTTATTCAGTGTGACCCAAGGTGACGGTCTAAGCAAATAAATGAAATAAAAGTTGTTGTCCCATTGGCTTCTATAGGACAAAGATATCGCCATCATGTGGCCTTGAGATGAATGCAGCTCGCTCGACCATCCCTCCAACACATCAGACTGTCTTCTAGCCACCTCTATATTTGTGTTGACCCGTTCATTTATTTTTAAAAAGCCAGTTTAATTACTTTTATATGCTGCTAGCTTAAGCTATACCAATATGCCATGAATTATGAGTAGATTAATAGTATTTTATTTATTGTCATTGTCAAGAACAATGAAATTGCGTTTGGGGCTTCCATACAACCCAAAAAAAAGAAGAAAATAATAAATACCCCTTAAAACCCAAGTGTACATATTTAACCCAGTGTGACTCCAATGCAATAAGACAATCCTTAGCAATAATGTTCGTAGAAATTCAGACAAAGACCTGAGAAACATGACAAAATACAACAATGCAACCCATTCAATATTATTGTACTGTGAGATATGATATCAGATATGATAGTTATCTATTTAAGAAAGAGGGGGGGGGCAGGAGGGGGAAGAGAATAAAGATATGATGCACCAATGCAGACCAGTTCATTGCTATTAAGAAGTTGGATATGGTTATTGTCCGTGAGAGGGGGGCAGAGAGTTCAGGAGCCTCACAGCCTGTGGATACAGGCTGTTGGCCAGTCTGGATGTTCTGGCCTGTATAGACCTGTACCTTCTCCCTGAGGGCAGCAGATGGAAAAGGTGGCGCGCAGGGTGATGTTGGTCCCGCAGGATACTGTGCACCCTCCTCAGACAGCGAGTGGGGAAGATATTACTGATCTCTGGCAGACTTGTTCCAATAATTCTGCCAGCTTCTTTCACCACCCGCTGGAGTGCTTGCTGATCGGCCTTGGTGCAGCTGGGGAACCACACTAGAAATCCATACGTCAGAACGCTGCTGATGGCACAGTTGTAGAAGTTCAACATCAGAGATCTGGGAATGTGTGCGCTCCGCAGTCTCCTCAGGTAGTAGAGGCGCTGTTGGGCCTTCCGTGCAACTGAGGTGATATGGTTGCCCCAGGACAGGTCCTCGGTCACAGTTACCCCCAAGAATTTAAAACTGCTCACCCTCTCCACCGCCTCACTGCCAATGAAGAGAGGCAGATGGTTGTTATGACCCCTCTTCCGGAAATCTACAATGATCTCCTTGGTCTTTTTGGTGTTTAAGACCAAGTTATTGTCGTGGCACCATGACTCTAGTTGTTGCACCTCTGTCCTATAGTTTGTCTCATCGTTGTTGGATATAAGTCCGAGCACTGTAGTGTCATCGGCAAACTTAACAATGAGATTGGACGCGCAGGAGGAAATACAGTCATGGGTGTAGAGAGTGTATAGCAGAGGGCTCAGAACACACCCCTGAGGGGCACCGGTGTTGACCACAAGGGTGGAAGAGGTGTTCTTACCCACTCTGACACTCTGTCTACGGTTAGTGAGGAAGTCCACAATCCAGTTGCACAGAGAGGAGTTAAGTCCCAGTTGGTGGAGTTTGGGACGGAGTTTGTATGGCCGGATGGTATTAAAAGCCGAGCTGTAGTCTACAAAGAGGAGCCGTGCATAGGTGTTCCTGTGTTCCAAGTGCTTCAGTAATGTGTGCAGCACTGTGGCGATCGCATCCTCGGTTGACCGGTTCTCCCTGTATGCAAACTGGTGCGAGTCCAGGGATGGTGGAAAAGCAGCTCTGATGTGTTTAATGACCAGTCTCTCCAGGCATTTGGCGGGAATGGGGGTGAGTGCCACAGGTCTGAAATCGTTCAGACATGTGACATTTGACTGTTTTGGGATGGGAACGATGGTTGCTGCTTTGAAACAGGATGGTACCAGTGAACAGGACAACGAGGTGTTATATATAGAGGTGAAGACGTCCGCCAGGTCCGCAGCACAGTCTTTTAGCACCCGGCCCAGCACTCCATCTGGCCCGGCCGCCTTCCTGGTGTTAATGCTCCGGAACACACGCCTCAGCTCATGAGTGCTCAGGACTGGAGCAGGATCGGTTGAGGGGAGAGGGGACAGGACAGGGTCGGTGTTCTCCCTATCAAAACGGGCATAAAAGAGATTTAGATCCTCAGCCAGAGTAGAACTGTCGGCTGAGGGTGATGGTGTTCTCCTTTTGTAGTCCGTGATAGCCCTGATGCCCTCCCAGACCTGCCTTGGGTTTGTGTTGTTCTCAAACCTGGCCTCGATACGCCTCCTGTGCTGCTGCTTGGCAGTCTTGATGCCTCTTCTCAGGTTGGCCCTGGCAGCACTGTATGCCTCCTGGTCCCCGGATTTGAAAGCGTTGTTCCTTGTTCGAATAAGTTGTTGAACTCCGTGTGTCATCCAGGGTGGATTATTAGGGAACACACGGAATCGTTTCCAAGTTGTTACATTGTCCACACAGAAACAGATGTAGTCCAAGACAGTGGAGGTGTAACTGTCCAATGCGACACGATTGTCAGTGTCCTGCACCTTGAATACATCCCAGTCTGTGCAGTGGAAACAGTCCTGAAGCATCGGAATAGCATCCTGCGGCCATGTTCTCACGGTTTTGGTTGTAATCCCAGTGCTCTTGATCTTTTGTGTGTATATTGGGTGTAGCAGAAGGGAGAGATGGTCTGACAGACCCAGGTGGGGATAAGCCTGGGCTCTGTATGCATTCGCCATGTTGGTGTACACCTGGTCCAACGTTCTATCTCCTCTGGTAGCACACTTCACATTACGGTGGAAATTGTGAAGTACAGATTTCAGGTCCGCGTGGTTAAAATCCCCAGCTGCCCTCTTATATAAGGAGCCAGCTGAGGTGGTTCGGGCATCTGACAAGGATGCCCCCTGGGCGCCTCCTGGGTGAGGTGTTCCAGGCATGTCCCACCGGGAGGAGGCCCCGGGGCAGACCCAGGACACGCTGGAGAGATTATATCTCTCGGCTGGCCTGGGAACGCCTTGGTGTTCCCCCGATAAGCTGGAGGAGGTGGCTGGGGAGAGGGAGGTCTGGGCTTCTCTGCTTGGGCTGCTGCCCCTGTGACTCGGCCCCGGATAAGCTGAAGCAGATGGATTGATAATATTCTGAAGTCTGTATCACAAAAAGTAGTTCCTAAAAAAAGTTCTTGTGAGAATGTGTCAGGCTCTCTCATGCTGCGTGTTAAATGTGGGGAAACCTGATTCTCCCCACGCTGCCCAGAACTGCTGTGTGAAAACACCTGTGCACCGTGGGAAATCTGCTCCACTTTCTTCTGCAGCTTTACTCAGAAACACTGGCGTTTGCAACCTCGCTGAAGTTCTCCTTGTTGTATTTGTTTAACATTCTTGCGTCTTTCTCTTTTCTTCTTCTTTTCTTCTCCTTTTCTTCTTCTCTTTCAGCTGTAAAGCAGAAGCCGCTGCACGTTTTCTTTTCCACCTAATTGCTCGACGTGCAGTCGAGGGTGAGGTAATGGCTGATGTTAGTCCTGGGCTGAGGTGAATAAGGACACTGTTGTTCTCCACCGTCTCTGTCAGGTCGCATCGGCGTGTACTCGAACTACTGTTGCCACGGCAACGAGATCCATGAGCACAGATTGTTTTTTGCGGGTGGGGGCTGGAAGTGGGATTTGCAGCTTGAATTGCTATTGAAGTAAAAAAGTGCACGTAACACCTGGGTGAGACTGGCACACTAGTGTGTGTGTGTGTGTGTGTGTGTGTGTGTGTGTTAAATGGAGAGAGTTAGGTAACCCTGTTCTTTGTAAGCATGCTGTGTGACTCGCTCTAAATCTCGTCTGTCATCCTCCTTTCCCAGGTGGTTAACACGCTCTGCTGTGCTCCCTTTTGAGCCGCCCCTCCTCCCTCCCCATCCTTTACTCTGCCTCTTCCAACATGTCCTCTCAAGACACTGCCATCAAGGGGTCTCGACCTGTGACCCCTCCACTGCCTTCTCCAAGATCCCCACGGTCTCCAGGTATATGCATAAATACACACACCCTCTCATGTGTCACCTGACATTGAAGATTTTGCTCACTTTCAGAGCAAAATCTATCAACATCCTACAATGTGAACGGCACATCAGCACTTTAACGAGATTAGCCTCGTCCATTTTGATGAAATTTGATCGCAGAAACTCTAAATGGAACTCAGCAGTTCGTATGGCGCCCACGTGCTTGCCTGACAACATGGGGCAAGCTCCTAATGAGATAACAGATGATGTCAGGGCTGATTGCTTCCCCGATCTGGACCAGAGCATCACTGAGCTCCTGGACAGTCTGAGGTTCGACCTGTTGGTGTCAGACGAACCCAAGCTTGATGTCCCAGAGGTGTTCTGGTAGACTTACTGTAGGTCAGGTGAGCGTGGGGCCAGTCAACAAGATGAGCAAGGGAAAATCTCATTGGCCTCCACCTGTTAAACCATTGTTTCAGAAGTGTGTATTAGAGGGGTGATTGGTACAGAGTCCACATTCAAAGTCTGCAGAGAAAACAAAGACACTGATGGACCATTTCCATATGCATGTGCCAAGTAAGTGCGCTGTCAGAGTAAGCAGTCCCAATGTCATGGCCACATGTGTTAACAGGTGTCTGCTCTCCAACTGATCTATAATCACTTCTTCTGTATTAATGTGCAAGTGATGCTCAGTTGATGGGCCTGTGCAGTCCTGCTTTATGGAAATATCAGAGTTGGCTGTGAGCAAATTAAGCTTCATCAGAAAAAACTAGCACAGTCATTTACATACAGAGTGAAGAAGCAAGGTGAGCTAGCACAAATAAGCATGAATTTAGGAACCGCGCACTGTTAGAGCGCTCGCTATAAACAGATCAAAGTACGAACAGCATGTGTTGCACTGATGTGAACCTACTGTGCCAGTTAACCCAGTTCTGTTAATATTATAGTGGTGGTGGGATGGTTCACTCATAATTAAACGTCCCTGATGCTGTGAGATGTTTAATGTGACTGACTCATCGTGTGAGGGCGTCGAGCTCACGCTGAGGTGGTTCACAGGCACGGGGGAGCATTAGCGTCTCTGTCCGAGGCCACGGGTCATGTATTTGCACATGCATTACAGGCACAGTTTCCCTGCTCTAACCGCTCGCCATGCTGTTGCGTGAAATTTGTTGCAATGTAACACACTGAGGACTTTTTCCCCCCACTTCAGAATCTCTGCACCTCCCGGCCTGCAGACACAGAGATCGCTCGCCTTCCCCTATGAGAGGCTACCTCATCCCCAGCCCTCTGCCCACACGCAGAAACAGGACCTGCTCAGCGTGAGGACACACACACACACACACACCTGTAGACCTTAACGAGAGGAAACAAATTCACAAGCCAATGAAGCGAGTGTAATATTCGCTGCTATGAGGCTTGTTGTCGTTGCTGGTCAATAGTCTCGTGCTGGACGCTGCACGGTGATCAGTTTGTTAATCAGACTGTCAGATTAGCATGTTCAGTGAGACCTTCTGTGTCTAACCACAATGAAACACCCACAGCTTTCATCGTTCGTGTCCTGGAATTGCCTCTTCGCAATAATTCATTGTTACCACGTCATGCAGCATTCAAGCAGCATGTGTAAATGATTAGTATGTGCTGATGCAGACAAACAGCAGTGCATGCCAGCACAGTGTGTCACAGTTTGTCAGCTGCTCTTCAGAAGACTCACTTTAAACATGAACTTTTAAACAATGAGCACATGCATTACTCTGTATTTTATGTATTAGCACATGTGTTTCTTTCACTCTTGGCTCTGTATGATGTAAACAAGAGTTTGTATTCTGTGAATCGTGCAAAGCTTCTCTGGTTGTTGAAGAGCATAATAAGACCTGCTTCAAAGTAAATGTTTTTAAAAGCTCACTCGGGGCCAGCCCTGCGCTGTGTGCAGGTTGCCCTGCAGCAGGACTGGATCTGCTGGAGAGCAGACAGGACGGAGCCAGCTGGTTAGCAGCCAACGACCTTTCAAAATAAAGTGCTTATTTCCTATATGGCGGGTCTTACGAGGGATCTGCCTCTGCTGGTTCAGTCTGCTCTGTGCTCACGTCTCCCATCTCTCTGTAATGTGCTTCCTGTGTAGGACGGCTCGTGCATCGGAGGGACCCGTGTTTACTGGCGTGTGTAAATATTTCTCGCGCTCCAAAGGCCATGGATTTATCACGCCATCGGACGGGGGCGCTGACATCTTTGTCCATATCTCAGAGTAAGTGTGTGTGTGCTTTGTGGATTAATGTGTTCGTGGTCAGGTCGGCGTGGGGAAGCACCTGTGGTGTGGAGAGTGCCTCACGCCGTCGTTCTGTGGGTGAAAGGTCAGGATGTGTTTATTGCTCTGTCACTGATGAGGTGTGTGTAGCTTGATGTTAAAGTTTGTCAGCTCTCTGTAGGAGTGAAAGGAAATGCACAGCAAGGCGACGCCGAGTGTAGGAGCAGAATATCTGATGACCTTCACTGCGGTGCCTTTATCACCCACAGGCCTGAAGCACAGACGCACGAACACTTGGACACCTACGTTCACACAAACCGCTCATTGGATACTTTAAGCACAAAACAATAAAATAGTTCACGAAGCCTTTGAGTGACTTTTCCACGTGTTTGTCGAACACAACAGGACCAGGCTCGTCCTCAGCAACAAGGCAACACAACAACACAGCCTAGTGATGTTTATTGATAATATGTTATTGATATAGTGATATTAACCTCGTGCCCTCCTCTGGCCTTTTTCTTTTTTTGATGTAGAGATCTGTTAAAGCTTCCCCCTTTGCTCTGCCATCTGTACTCTTAATGCGTTTTGCACCCTTTGACACAAATGCACAAAATCTGAACTCATGCATCTTTTTTTTTCCCCCTTAATCAACTTGAGCTCTTATCAGAATCGTTTTCTGGATTGAACGTGATTTTTAGATGCAGACTTGATTCATTAGCCTTCTCTGGTCCTTCAGGTCATAAATTCATTCTTTCTTTTTTAAGAATGAACCAAACTGACTCGGCCGGTCCTAAAGGCGTTGCTATCCCACTCAAAGGTTTGTTTTGGTTTGTCAGACTTTGTGCAGGCGTCTCTATGGGCCTCATAGTAATAAAACATTTCAAATGTATGGTTGTGTTATGAGTCGGGGTGTTGAAGTGCAGATTCTCAGCTGTAAGTAAAGGAGCTGGTGAAGCTGTTGCATAAATTGTTGAGAAATTGGGGCCATTTTTAAACACGCTCGCCTGCTAAAGTTGTTTCGTGCATATTGGAGGATCTGTTTTGTTATTTCTTCATAAATAAATCAGCTGAAAGATCGTTTCATTTCATTCTTCTTCTGCAAACTCAAAGCACAGGGTCCAAGGAGCTTTGAGTTTTGGGCCACATCAGCACTTTGGTAGGTTGTGAGGTAAAGAACTACTCCAGCACTTCTTGACAAGCTGGTAAGTTTGGCCTTAACATCCATGAAAGTGCTGGATGATTGTCAAATCCTTTTTGAGGTAAAGAAAGCCATGTGAAGAAGACTGTCCAGGAAAAATCTATATTATTATTTACCAGTGACAAACCAGTACTCAGCATGAAGTGGAAGAAGTTAGTGAAGCTGAGACGCCGACCAGAGGGCAGCAGGTTAAACAGGTGGTGAGTAGCGTGCAAGAGGTCACCTGTGATGGGCCTGGTTTTCCTGCGACAGGAGGATCTGGCGAAGGCGGGGGGTGTCAATCAGACTTGTTAAAGCAGCCAACATGTTTGGCCGCTGCAGTATTTGGTCAAATAAAACTAAGATGAGCTGCACCAGTAGGACAGTAATTAAAAACAGAAAAGCTCACACAGTGGAGACGATGTAATGTGTTGCATTCCTGCAAAATCTGACAAATAAGCCTTTTATTGATCATGTCAGTGTGTCTTTGTGGTCTCTGTGTGTTCAGCGTTGAACTGTCTGCACTTTGAGCCCACACATCATATCTAAACAGTGTTTGTCACAAAAATATCCAGATTTGTGACGTTTGATGCTGCTGGGTTTCTTGAATAATTAGCTGAGCGAGGAGTCGTGCAAGAGACGGATATGAAAACGAAACCACACGAGAAATCATGGCTCGAGAATCCCGTTCATTAACTTTCACTAAAATCTACAAAGAAAGCCGGAGAGCTGTTATAATAATGTTTCTTATTATTGTTCATGTCCTCTTCAACAGGAAGTGTCTCATCGTCTGGTGTATCGTGTGTTTTTGAATCAGAGAGGTATGCCTTTTTAAGCTCTCCTCTCCTTTGCTCTGTGGCTAACGTAGAACATGAGAGGCACAAACTGGGTGAATGGAGTCAAATGGCCACTTGAGAGGCAGAGTGATCATTTGTCTCTACAGCTGAAGTCCTTCTACCTAACAAGCCTGTGCTGATGAGACTGAGCTGTGTGACTGGTTCTGTCTCCCCTGAATCAGCAGTGAGCACAAAACTGTATTTGATTCCATCTACAGCTCATCCAGCACTCGGGAGGCTGAAGCAGGACAAGAGTTCAGCGTGTCTGTAAAATCCAGCTGGGTTTGAACCCCTCTGTCTCTGTCTCCTCAGCATCGAGGGCGAGTATGTGCCGGTGGAAGGCGATGAAGTGAGCTACAAGGTTTGCTGCATCCCTCCTAAACTCGAGAAGATCCAGGCAGTGGAGGTGACCATCACCCATCTCAAACCTGGGACCAAACACGAAACCTGGTCGGGGCGCACCGTCGACAGCTGAACACCTGAACCGCGCTGGTGGGAGGGAAGAGGAGTGGGTGGAGTCAGCATGATTGGGGGGGCGGGGTGGAAGAATGAAGTGGGGGGATAAAAACCTGGGAGTGGTGGAGGAGCCAGAGGTGGTGCATACTGTTGGTTTGTGAATAGAGGGGGGACTTCACCTTAGGTTAGACTTTTAGATCCCTGCTTAAAAAAAATGATAGTGAGATGTTTGGAAAAGGAGTTTTCACAGATTTTAGTTTGGAGGAGCTGAACCGGCCGTGGCTGCTCCCCGTGGACCCCGCGCCATGGGGTTATTCTACAAACTCCACTGTGAGGCGTACTCCTCTGCTTGTGCCTGCTTCTATCATGTGTGTTTGACATGTTTGGATGGCTCAACAAGTGAATTAAAGAACTTTCACCTGGTACGACTGAGTTCCTCATTTTGTTTTTATGTTATGTGCTCTGCACAGATTCAATGCAACCTGTGCCACACGCTTTGCAGCTTCTGGGATCGATGCTATATTACACAACCTCTCATAGGAGGAGGTGCTGGACTTTTCTTTGACGGCTTTTCTGTGAATAAACACACTCTGTGACTCGTTAACATGTTCTGTTCATGAGTGGGGCATCATTATCCATCTCCTTTTGTGGTCCTTTGTCAGATCTCGGCTGTATGAGTTGATCAGCAGGAGAAACCACCATGAATGGTTTCTGTTACATGTGGCAAAATTACCCAGTAAAGACACAGATAAGCCGGGCTTCAGAGAACTGCAGCAGGCTGCTGTTGCAGTTTTATAACCTCTTGAATGTTTCTGGCAACAGCAACAGTGGCTGTGCAACAGCCTGCACAGCCACTCAGTGGACAGTTGTTAGCTTCTCATTCACACTGATAGTTTTCTGTCTGGTACAAAGCAAAGCTAGTAGAAGAAAACAGTTTACTTGTATCTTCTGACCCAGGAGGACGACTGCAGACTCATGGACTGCTGATAAAAGCTGCCAAAGCCACATCAGACTACTTGGACAGTCTCTTGTGTGTGGTTCATGCTGCAGTCTGGCATCAGCAGGTGTTCTCCTGTCAGTATGCTGCAAATAAGGAAGCCATGACCATTAATAGGCTGATTGTAACTTGTAAGGTGTCTGTGATACTATATGAAGACACTAGTCTCATTTATCATGACCGCAGGATTACGAGTAAATGTTGAATCCAGTTCTTTGCCTCGGGAGGAACGACTTACATGTGACGAGACTTTCAGGAAATGCTGGATTGCTGACCTTTAACATAACCCACCCGCCTCCAGCTCACCCTGGCCTCCTTCACAGCATCCATGAACCTCCTCTGAGGGCTACATGTATAAAACATATATAAACATTAACATGATCAGTGTGAAACATCACAGATTCAGTGGGCTGTTAGAAACTAGACACTTATTCAGGTTTAATAAAATGAGAAGTAGCAGAAACTTTGAAAGTTAACTGCAGTAAAAACGTGATGCTTCTCCCAAGAACAGCAGGACTCATAAGTTTAGTGCACACGTATAGTTAAAGTACTATATATGGGCTTATAGTTAAACAGAACTCACTCACTGTGGTCAATACAAGGTTGGATAGAACAACAAACAAACCTAAAATGCAAAATGAGTGTGTGATGGCATGAAATCCTAAATTCACGTGTGACTAAAGCACAAATTAGGGTGAAACTAAGTGTGAGTAGGAGTGAATCTACTCGCTTTTAAAAAGTGATGCACTTGCTGACAGGTTACTATCATCAGAAAAAGGCTGCTGCCCTCCTCTGGCAGCATTTATCCATTACAGCCATCCACCGCTGACGATAACGGCGTGGAAGTGGATTCCTGCAGGTGCCATCGTGCACGGAGCTGGAGCAAGAACCTGCTGGGTTTTCACGTGTGTTGTCCTTTACAGGGACCTTACTGATGGTTGGATTCTCTGCATATTGAGAAACATCAGTGACAATGTGTGATAACTTTATCAGGTAGCAGTAAGCATGTTTGGGTGTTTTCTGATTTAACCCTCTGGGCTCCGGCCTTGGTGGCCACTTCACTTTTCGTTTTTCAACTATTTTTGTTCTCTTAATGGAATGAAACTCAGATTTTTTATTTTTCAACATCAGCTCCTTAATAATGTCAATAATATTCACTGTACACCAAATTGTTCCTCTTGACTCTATCGTGGCCATTTTGGCCAATTGAAACCCATTATAACCACCTTTTTTGATTCCTTGTTATTGGCAGTACTATATCCTGCGATTTAGGTAAATTTGCTTTCATTCTAAACTCAACACATGAAAATTGTAGTTTTTAATGTTTTTTACCAAATTACATCATTTACCCATTTTTGGCCAAGCAAGCAATTTCATGTAACATTCTGAATTTCTAGTAGCAGCCTTTGATGGCCTACCAAAGGTAGCCACGCGTTACTGCCCATCTCTGCTTACCACACTCCAATGGACCAAAATAATGAAACAATTTTGATATAGGTTTGATCTTAAGGATCTAATAGTTTGTGTTTGTGCATGACATTGCAGCACAAACATGTATTTGCAAGATAGACTGGAATAAATAATGACGCAT